CCCTGCCGTGGCGGTGAGGCCCCCGCGTGCCCTGCAGCTGCCGTGGCACTGAGACTTTGCACAACCCCTGCTGGCACCCATGCCCCCTACCCCATGTGGGGCCAGCCATGTCACCCTCCCCCAGCCTCACCGACCCCCGCTTGTGTGCACCCCCGCGCCGCTCCGTGCTCTCGTGACTAGGCGTGAGCCACGCGTGTTCTCCGTGCCGCCGTCCGGCGTGTCCCGCCCGGGGCTGGGGCGTCTATCCCTCCTCCCTTTTTTAAGTTGTTTTGGGGGGTTTTTTTGGTTGTTTTGTATTGATGATGATGATGATGATGATGTCGATGTCCCTTGTGCTGTATTTGTGCGTGACCATGTCCTGGGTCGTGGGGCGGGCCTGTGCTCCCCCCCTCCCCCGCGCTGCCGCCGCCGCAGCCCGCGCTGACTTTTTCTCTGCAAAGTGGCCAATAAAAACCAGCTTTGAACTTGCACCTTTTTATTAACAGAGGATCTATTTTTCCAGCTCTTGTACGCAAGGCTCAATAAATGTCTTGTTCGCCGCTGCCTCCGCCTGGCTTCCTCTTCCCTTCTACCACCCCCCACCCTGCCACCGGGCGCTGGCCGGGACAGGGCAGGAGAAAGAAGCTGGGGTAGGAAGGTGGGGGGGTCCTGGTCCCTGGCAGGGCGACGTGGGTACCCCTGTATGTGCCAGGCCTGTGGGTGATGGGTTGGAGCACCCGGGGGAGCCATAGGGTCCCTGGAGCAAGGGCAGCCTGTGACCGGCCCCTGGGGCCCGGGGGGCCCCTGGGGCCTACCCCCGCCCCCCCGCAGCTGATCCTGGGCTGGGCAGAAGCGAGTTGTGTCCGCGGCCGACAGAGAACAGCTGGTTTTATGGGCGTTAATCCAGGCTGGGCTGGGAGGGGGGATTAGTTCAAGGGCAGAGGGGACTCTGGGCCTCTGACGTCCGTGGGTGCTGGGGGCGGGGGGTTGCTCACAGTGTCCTGGCACTCATGGGGTTAAACCATGGGAGCGGGGTCAGTGCAGGGAAACATGGGGTGATACCTCCCTCCCCATCTGGGGAGCTGTGTCCCAGCCTATGATTTTCCCCCCCCATCTGGGGGCTGGGGCTCAGCAGGCCAAAGGCTGGGAGGATTGCACCTTTCAGCCTAAAGCAGGGAGATGTAAGGCCATCTGGCCCCTGCTCTTCCCTGACCCCCTTGTCTGCCTGGAGCTAGCGTGAGGGGAGCCTTGGCCCAAGCCCCAGGCTAGCTCTGTCCCAGCCTGGGTGAACCTCATGCCAGAGTTTCCCCATCTGTGCCAGGGCCCCCAACTCACCCTTGTTCAGCTTCCCCCCATGCTCCCAGGATTAGGGAGGCTCTAGCATCTCCTGCCCCTGCCAGACCCCCTCCTCCCTGGGGAGGCTGGCTCAGGGGGAGGGAGAGGGTGGGTCTCCAGGTCACCCCAACCCCCTCTGCTTTCAGACCCCAGAGGAAGCACCAGGGACCTGCTGGAGGGCATCTGAGGGGGCCTGTCATGAACTGGGGCAGGGGCTCAGCCCTGGGTGGGAGGCAGGAGCCAGAGCCCCATGGGTCTTGGCTCTACAGGGCTTAGGCTGGTGCTGGGTGGGGGGTGGATAGCAGCATAGCCTCCCCCACCGCCTGGCTTCCAGGGGTGCTTTCAGACCCCAGAGGAAGCACCAGGGACCTGCTGGAGGGCATCTGAGGGGGCCTGTCATGAACTGGGGCAGGGGCTCAGCCCTGGGTGGGAGGCAGGAGCCAGAGCCCCATGGGTCTTGGCTCTACAGGGCTTAGGCTGGTGCTGGGTGGGGGGTGGATAGCAGCATAGCCTCCCCCACCGCCTGGCTTCCAGGGGGGGAGGGGTCCCCAGGGTGCAGCAGGGGGATGTGGGCAAGACGGTGATGGT